TGGCAGTCATTTCCTATTTTGGAGCAGAGATCTCGAGGGAGGACTGCTTCCTGTCGGGGAGTGTGGGAACCGTTGGAGGCGGAGTACACCGTACACAGTCAATCACAGATATAGGACACAAACTTAGACCAGACGGCAGGCTGCACTCCACAACATGAATTTAATTACAGCATGCGAGGTCTGCGGAGTCCACAATCTGCTGCTGTCTATCCTTCCTCGCTTATTATTGGCTCATGAAGATGTACTTAAAAAGAAACCGAGTTGCTTTCCGTAATGTAGAAGTGCTTTTTTAATAATTGCCTATTTAGTGTCATCGTTATTTTTAAGGCTTTGTAGTGCAACAATACATTTTATAACCTTTAATTATGTGACTCATTAAAAAATAATTCTTTCTGTATTATTATTTTTTTAATCATCTTTTTAAAGCATAACATTCCATGTAAACCCTACAAGAACTGCAGCGACAATCCTTAAATCCCTGTTCGGTAAGCAAGAGCAGCATTTTTTTAATAGAAATCCTTGATTTGGGTGTGTTCAAGATGCAACAGATTGTTCCCTAGGGTGCTTGGATACTAAGGCACTCCCTCGCTCTAAATGTTTTAGGCAGAGCACTGTACAGTGAACATCTGATATCTTTCAGGAAAATCAAGGATAATCACGGCACTGGCTCACTTCTCTTGCAGCATCTGGACTTGTTTTGTACTGGGACCATGCTGAATCAGAATAGTAAAAAGTAAGTTTGGGAATTGTTGCTTCTTCCTGTTTTTCTCATCTTGATGGCTGCGGTTCTAGCGAAAAGTCTTGTTATTAACACTGGGTTTGCCGGGATTAACAGATTAGCTGGATGTTTGACTGTTTTTTAGTAACCCGCAATGGTGTTTGTTGTTTCAGTACATGCCGTGCCAAAATGCTTTTTTTTTTTATAGTAGTAGCCACCCAGAATGGAGCTTTGATGTCTGAATACCTTATTGTAGCTTTTGATCATGATGTAGATAGAAAGATTGACAAAGCGTTTTAATTTAAAAAAGGACTACATACAGCATTACTAAAAACAGTTCCACAATCAACAGTGTCCAAAGCTGAGGTTCTGTTTAGCATTATATATTTGTTTTACATCATAATGTTTTTTTTTTCCCAGGTTTAAATTTGTGTGTACTGTATATGAAGGTCATTGTTTTCTTCAAACAAATACAAAAACCCAAGATGCAAAGAGATTGTTTGTCATTATATACTTCTCTTTTGCCTTTTAAATGGATAAGAAAACGGATTTTTTTAATACAGCGAATAAGTTTCTTTTTCCAAACTCAAATCTCAGCTCACAGGCTCACATTTCCCATGAATCATCACCAGCCTTCTCTGATCAGAGGAGCCCATGCGTGCACAAATAGAACAAGTTTGTGCCCATGCAGATGTCTATTTGACCTTTGCATTATTTAATGGTGTGAATGCTGTGTTTTTGTCTACTAATGGATGATTTGCAGTGCTTATTGTTCCAGAAAGAATATTTGGAGAACAGTTTAATGTTCTGCCTTCTTGTTCAGAGATGTGCTTAGCAGTTCACACAAGTGCATGCATTGAATTGTGCTGTTTATGTAGATGATGCAAGTTTGAGGTTTGCAAAATTTAGCAATCCGTCCATCCATTATTTCCTCTGCTATATTCATGATACTGTAAATTAAAATGGAGAAAAGGCCAAGCAATTGTTTACAAATTGCACATTTAATGATTTTTTATTTAATTTGAGTATATGTCTCTCTCTCCCTCTATCTCTCTCTCTCTCTCTCTCTCTCTCTATATATATATATATAAATTACATTTATACTTGTATATATAATATAGAAATGTTGATATATGAAAATAATATTAGTTATATAATTTTGTATTAAAATATTATAAGCTTTTTAATAATTTTCTGTTATGAAGCATGTCTTTTTCCGTCCCTGTTGCACATATCGGTCATTCTCGAAATGCATAAAGCAAGTTTCCTTGTCATTTTGGTCAATGATTGAAGCAAACATATGTTCGCCTCAGGTCATTTGTGGATTCGCTGAAACCACTGACAGAGTCACTAGAGGGACGTTACATGAGTTTTAATATCAGCCTACAGTCCGCAGTGAGTCATTCGTCAATCGTTTAAACACACGGGACCTGAGAAGCGCTGGCTTGACTTTATCTATTACATGTCAGAAAAAATGAACAGATGAACAGCGGTATGCAGGACATCAGGAGGGTAATGTGGTAATCTTCCCATGAGATTTGACTGAGAGGTGTTTTTATAGCCCTTGACTGATGCCCTGTACATCCTTTGAAAGCTTGTGGAATTTCAGAAAAAATATCTGTATTTTTGTGTTCTTTTACATCCCATTCATGGTCCAGGATAGCTAAATGGGCCCGTAACTTTCTTGAGACTTTCCAAGGGAGTTTTTATGTTACACAATTACATAACTCGTAATTTGATCTGCCAGCTTTAATTTCTGTTAGCAGCAGTGTGCCTGTGTAATTCCATCATCTGTTATATCAACTCACTATCCAAGGACTCATTCGAAAATCAATTTGGTTGCCCATTTTCCTCCTTTCTGGCTTGTACTGTATAGTAATTTGCAGGACTGGCAGAATGAGATTTGTGGATGCTATAACTTTAGTGACATACATAATGAGTGTGTCACAATAATTGATAAAGCCATGCACCTCTCAAGAGTGCAGGAAAGAACAGTCCTGATCCTGATTTATGCAGTAGTAAATACAAACTTGGTACTATATGTGACCCTGGACCACAAAACCAGTCTTAAGTCGCTGGGATATATTTGTAGCAATAGCCAAAAATACATTGTATGGGTCAAAATTATAGATTTTTCTTTTATGCCAAAAATCATTAGGATATTAAGTAAAGATCATGTTCCATGAAGATATTTTGTACATTTCTTACCGTAAATATATCAAAACTTCATTTTTGATTAGTAATATGCATGGCTAAGAACTTCATTTGGACAACTTTAAAGGCGATTTTCTCAATATTTTGATTTTTTTTGCACCCTCAGATTCCAGATTTTCAAATAGTTGTATCTCGACCAAATATTGTCCTATCCTAACAAATCATACATCAATGGAAAGCTTATTTATTCAGCTTTCAGATTATGTATAAATCTCAATTTCGAAAAATTGACACGTAAGACTGGTTTTGTGGTCCAGGTTCACGTATCAGTTATCAGGCAGCATTTTTATTATTATTAATTTTTTTGGCATCATATCAGTAATTATTTATATGTAATTTTTCCTGCTCATTATCCTTATTTTTACATTTTATATTATGTCGGCCATCATTTATCGCTCACTTGAATAATTTAATAGCACTGTTAAGTGCAGTCTTAAATCTCAGAATGAATATCCATTTTTCATACTGTACATTAAAAAAGTTGTGATACCCAAATTTATTTGTGGCATTGAAACTAATTTTAGTTTTTAGTATTTTATTTTTCTGTTTTGTATTTTGTTATATACCAAACATTATAAATAGAGTATTTTAATATTTTATTTTTGTTTTTTCATACAGTTGTTTCATTTAAATATTTGTCTCTAGATACTTTGGCTCTAGATGTGTGTTGTCTCTCTAGATGTGTGTCCTAATATTTCTTAGGAGAAATAAATATAGACACTAATGAGACATTTTGTCACCTTGGAATTATAAGGTTTTATCTGCCATTTTTGTCAAAATCGAGTTGCTCACATACTCTTATTCTGTGACAACTTATTTACATTATTTGATGTTTTTTTTTAAGATGTGTACATTTTGGGACTGATGTATGAAAGAGACTTGTTCCCCATATGCCATATCACTTATATGGAATGCAAAAACTTTGAAGCTCAATATCTCGAAACTGCTCAGAATGCAGATATAACCTCATCATTTCTAGGCGAAACTTCATTTGGACAACTTTAAAGGCGATTTTCTCAATACTTTGATTTTTTTGCACCCTCAGATTCCAGATTTTCAAATAGTTGTATCTTGACCAAATATTGTCCTATCCTAACAAACCATACATCAATGGAAAGCTTATTCAGCTTTCAGATAATGTATATATCTCAATTTCGAAAAATTGACCCTTATGACTGGTTTTCTGGTCCAGGGTCACATTTGTAGAAATATTGTAAGCTACAAAATTAACGTTGAAAGCAGAGCTCAGATCACTTTTGAAAGAATTTAAAGGGGTATATTGGAGTTCGTATTGAAATTAACATTTGATTGCACTTTCATATCTTGGCAATTTAGAGCACAGTTTGAGACATTTTTGAGATATCTAAAACTTCAGAGAAGAGATGTTTTTCTTATTTTTCTCATATTTGAGATTATTTTTATCAGGAAACCCTAACAGCAGACTTCATTTGCTCCATTTGCTCTTTCCTAATCTCATCATTGTCTAAGAGAAACAATTAACAGATTAGCAACATTTTCTTTCCTAAAGGAACATGGAGAAGACAAGTCACACTTCCTGTAAACAATTCCTTTTCACCTTTTACTTTGTGTGTGTCTATGCGTGTCACTTCCTTTTTATTTTTGTGACAGTACTAGTCATCTCAACATGCCCTTGGTGGTCTCATTCAAACAGTCTCATCCGAGTGAAGGTCATTCACCTGGAGGGCAAACTTTGTTTTCCACTTCCTATGTGAGACACAGCTCACTTCCAATTAGGCAAAGCTGCTTTTTGATGCCTCATTACAACTTGCTGAAAATGCCTCATGGCCTCATCATTTCCCAGAACGCCGCCCCTCTGATCTTCGTCAGATATGTCATGCCGGTGCCTGGAAGCTTCAGCTTTTGTATGCAGTGCAGCAGAACCGCTGACTAGTCAGGCAGTGAGAAGTCAGCAGCTCATGCCGTGCTCACCGCAACATGCCAACGTATACGATAGTTCCAGTTCGCATTGCATCTCACTTCTAATAAACTACAAATGCCTGTTTGACTCTGATGCATATGTTCTTCTCTTCCTGTTTCACTTCAGTAGATCCCATCTGATGCTGAGGCTGAAGGAATCGCGGTCTCACGAGTCGTTGCTCAGCCCCAGCAGTGCAGTAGAAGCTCTAGATCTCAGTATGGAGGAGGAAGTGCTCATCAAACCTGTGCACAGCAGCATCCTGGGACAGGATTTCTGCTTTGAGGTGAGTCGGTTGACCTCACTGCCCTGTTGAAGTCACAGCCCTGTATTAATTGCCAAAGGACTTTTAATGTACGACAAGTCTCAAAATAGCACGCAGCAAAGGCCCATTAAAACTTCATCAAGGCCATTAGCCAAGATCAAATACTTAGCAGAAAATAGCAGTGCTATCTAGCTGTTCAGCAGTATAGTCATTGAGGGGCCGTGGGTCATGTTACTGGATGATTTTCACGTGTGTTACAGAGAAGGCTCATTTAAAACAGATGGTTATATAATTACAAGGTCAGAGGGTGCAGACAAAGTAAACTGTGATCAGGCAATCGGCATGCAGGTTTCCTTAAAGGAATAGTTATTCACCTAAAAAAGGTTTTTTTTTGAAAAGGGTTTTTGAATGAATCTCAGTTAGGTAGTATCATACTTAAATCAGGCATCTGCATGCGGAACTTAATACCAGAAGGGCCTTCCTGTCTCTTTGTATCCCCTGCTCAAAGGGTGCAAGAGAGTCCCATCTGTCTGAACATCTCCTCTCGTTCTCTCTGTGATCACTAGAGGTGAGTTCTGAGAGGCCAATTCACATGGAGTCAATGACTGTTACAGTACAGCAGACGCCAGCTGCAAAGAATGAGACACTCACCATTAGTAGGAGTTCTGCAGGGGTCAGCCAAAGGTCTATTATGGGTTATGCTGTTTGCTCTATTTATTCCATCATTTATCATGCAAACTATAATTATAGCAGTCAAAATTCTATATGAAAATTGAATTACATTTAGTAGGGTACACTTTTATTATGAATTTCTAGGGTGGAATTCCCTAAGAAGGAGCTGACTTTTCAAAAATATGCTTATTTTATATTTATTTTTTGTGAATGTTTACAGTGTTTAAATATTTCAAATATATTGTAGCTATTACTTAATTTTGTTAATAATTTTATTTATTTATTTTATTATTTTATTTTATTATATTTTGCAATTTATTTAAAATATTTGATATATTATTTTATTCAGATATAAATATTTTTGTTTAATATTTATCACTTAATTGTATATTTATTTTAAAGGCTTATTTGCATTTAAATACAATTGATTATATTTAAATTATTTAGATATTTATCTAAATATACATCATTTTAATTTATTTCATTTTTATTATATTTTGCTTATTTAAACTATAATTTACATTCTAATTCAAGAATTATTTAATTTTGCAATTGCAAACTTATTTTTTTGTTTAATATTTATTACTTAATTTTTCTAATTACTTATTTTAAGTATTATTTTCAAATATAATTTAAATACAAATGAAAGTACATAAGAAGCAGCACTACATCAGCGCAGATAATGCCTGGCAGTTTTTGTTCTGAAAAAGTCTCGCAACTGTTTGTTGAATTCACCCCTCTGTATTCAAATGTGGACCAGTACTTTTGTTGTCACCTGGATGGTGTGACTGTGAGCAGATGGTCTTTTCAGGATGAATTTTGGATATGAAAAGAATATTTGTAAAAGGCGTATGCATGTATCTCTACTCTCTGATAACGCACGTGATCCTTCAAATACGTCTGATCTAAGTGCATTCTGTCTGATAGGGCTATTTGAGAGTTTTATTCTTCCTCCAAATGTAATTGCTCTCCACTCCTGGGAAACGCTTCACTGATTGAGTGCTGTAGCGTTCAGTGGATCTCTCTGCTCACATCCACCATCTCCTGATCTGCATTTCAGTTCTTTCTAGCTTCCTTAATGCACTTATCCGCAAATTTGATCATTGTAATCTGTAATTGCAGGTAACTACGTCAACAGGAAGCAAATGCTTCTCATGTCGGTCGGCTGCCGAGAGAGACAAATGGATGGAGAATTTGAGACGTGCTGTGCATCCCAACAAGGTAAACTGGATGATTCATCTGAATCCTGGGTAATTCTAGACGAGATGAGGTTTAAGCCAGTCAGCATGTTACTTTTTCATATATCCTGTCTGTCTCACATATTGACAGTTTCGGATCGACTTCTCTGCATTAACTCAGCTTAACTTTTTAAAGTACACAGGGGGTTATCTAATTCCTTTCTGCAGTTTGCAGAGGTCACTGTAAAACGCAGTGCTTTCTTTTTTTGTATTCCGCAGGATAACACCCGTCGGGTGGAAAACATGCTGAAATGTTGGATTATCGAAGCTAAGGACTTGCCTGCAAAGAAAAAATACTTCTGTGAACTTTGTCTGGATGACACGTTGTATGCACGGACTACCTGCAAACTCAAAACAGACAATGTTTTCTGGGGCGAACACTTTGAGTTCAACAACCTGCCCTCAGTTAGGAGTATCACCGTGCATCTTTACAAGGAAACGGACAAAAAGAAAAAGAAGGACAAGAATAATTACGTGGGCCTGGTCAATATCCCTATAGCGGCAGTCACCGGGCGGCAGTTCGTGGAAAAATGGTATTCCGTGAGCACGCCGAATCCCAATAAAGGAAAGAGTCCAGGACCCATGGTCCGCTTGAAATCCCGATATCAGAGCATGAGCATCCTTCCCATGGAGCTGTACAAGGAGTTTGCAGAGTACATTACTAACAATTATATGTTAATGTGCTCAGTGCTGGAGCCAGCGCTAAGTGTGAAAAACAAGGAAGAGATGGCTTGTGCACTTGTCCATATCTTACAAAGCACAGGCAAGGCCAAGGTAAGATAATTGCATTGTACGCTGCTATGCCACGTTAAAGTAAACACGAAATCAGAGTTCACCCCATTTTCTTTTCTAATGCACATTCCTGCTCTTGTTGTGCATGATTCATCATTAGAATCATGTGCATGAATCTAATGCGCATTATTGCAATATAACAGTTTCAGGCTACCGTTGTACAATGTATTTAACAAATATGATACATAAATAATTGTAAATAATCAGATAAAAGAAATCACACAAAAAGCATACAACAAATCATGCAAGTTTATTTGCAATTAGTGTCAATTTTAAAATAAAGTCAGAATTGTGAGATTAAAGTTGTAATGTTGTGATATTATGTTCCTACTATTTTGAGAATAAAGTAAAAATTAGCAGAATAAGTTGTATCAATAGGAGAATAAATTCTTAGCAATATGAGATTAAAGTCGCCCACTGCTTGCCATTTCAGAGTTATTTATTGCTAAATCCTATCTTAAAGTAGATTTAACTAAATCGTCCACACACATTTCTCACATATAAAAATTAACTTTATTCTCAAAATAGTAAGACTGTAATCTCATATTTCTACTTTATTATTCGTATTGCTTTGACTTTAATGTTGTAATTCTGACTTTATTCTTAAAATATTTCCACTTTAATCTCACAATGCTATGATTTTATTCTCGTCATTTTTATTTTATTTATTTATTGTTTTTTAACATGGCACTAAAATGCTGTAATTTCCACAAGTCACAACTCAGAAATGCATCACATTCCATAATGAAAATGGGCTGCAAAGGCCTTTTCATGTTGACTATAAAAGTAAATGTGTTGCCTGACTGCATTTGTTATATCTAGGAAGATTGTTTAATTATAGACTCTCACGGATGCTGTTTGCTGACAACCGAACGAGAGAGTGACATGACGATTTGTACATTGTCAAGATAAAACACTCAACAATCATTGTGCTACTTTGAGTTTCCATGTTACACTCGGAGTTAGACGTCTTAGTATAAAAAAGCTGACTGTGACTTTTATTTTGAAGAGTTCTGAAATGAAGCATTTGCCTAGTTGGGAGTTTTGCTGTAAGAAACAGAAAAGTACGTTCTAGGCCTTACTCTAAACCCCATCAAATGTCCAACTGCGAAAAACGTCAATGATAGAGAAGAACAATAGAGACGTGGCCTGCTTCCCCTCATTTAATCACAGGAGTGCTGAGCGCTGTGATTGCCCTCATTAACTTGAGCACAAACGGCTCTGATACTCACCATATATCAGCCTAGAATCAGGTGATATCACAAACAAAAGCGAGCCGTCTGACGCTTTGTCACTCATCTGTCATTATTGATCAAATGCTGTTAGAGAGAGTTGTTTTTGCTGCAGCACTCTGATGCCAATCCGAGGCATTGTTGCATCACAACCGACCTGCACAACAATTTGCCATCCAGTTCTCTAGAATATGCGATCGCATTATTGTTAAGTGCCACTCTGGGCTTATTTGGGATTTTTAGTCTGTGCAATCCAGCAATACAAGCCTTATGTTTAGACGTGCTTGAATGAGATTTTGGTATTTTGTTTGCCTTTTGTGTTGAATGAAAGATTCTAACTTAGCTGTTACTTTTTCAACATATTATATATATTATATTATACAATTCTTTTAAACCATTTTTTGCAGCACACATATTATGTAATTTTTTAGACAATCAACAAAGTGGCTGGTCTGTCATTACAGCAGAACTGTAAGTCAATAAGGCCACAGTCTTTCATTACAGAGGATTTAATTGGTCAGGGACTGCATTGTCTCTCATTATACAAGGCCAGAGCTGGTCAGCCAGTGCATTTTCTTTCATTAGCTGAAGCCTGGTTACTGTAAATAAAGTGCATTGACTTAGTCTCAGCATTCCACAGCTTCCTGTCTTTGTCTGCAGGCCCTGCATGATTTCAATAATGAGTACTGATTAGCCTGAGTATGTACTGATAGCACATGATTGAAATAATATCTGCCTGTATGGGGCATCTCGTTCTAAAATTGTCTTCAAATTGGATTGCTGCAAGCCAAAATTGCTGAATGATAAGCTATCCATAATGTGTAGTTGCATAATATGACATTCACCTTTATTGATCTAATAAGCAACCATCAAATTTGTACGGTAGTCTTGAAATGCTGTGTATTTGAGCTTTGCTAATGTATCAGACATCTTTTGACATACATAACTGTAAATGGTAAAGATACAGTATGTATTCAGTTTAGAATCTATACAATATAACGTGTCTATATTATATACCGAATATTTACTGTATATATTATATAAATTACATATGAAGAGTTCAGATGCAAAAGCCTCTAAGTGCCGTCTGAAATTTTCATCTAAAATGGACATTTTTATCAGGCTCCTATATTTATGTTCAATTATTTCACTTTAACGGGTTAGAAAAGGATCTATACATTGCCATTAAAGTAAAATGACTGAACCAGCATAGGAGCCTGATAAAAATCTAATTTTAGATGAAAATTTCAGACGGCACTTAGAGGCTTTTGCATCCGAACTCTTCATATGTATTTACATAATACCTATTTAGGAGCTAAATATAAAATATCCAGTGTTTTCATGTTATTTTTTTTATGTTTATTACCCCTTGTTGATTTTAGATAAATCTCCTATTATTTACATTTATAAATGCACTGTTTATACAGTAGGTATTCAGTATATAATATACACAAAATAGTGTGTCTGTACTATATACTATATATATTAATTACATATATATTTACATAATGCCTATTCAGGAACTTTATCAAAAATGAAAACAGGGATATTAAATAAATAAATGCAATGTTTTTATGTTTTATTTTTACAATTCTATAATTATTTTTTCATATGTTAGTTTTTAATTCTTTTTTATTTTTCCTTGTCAATTTTAGATAAAGCTCCTAAATAGGTATTATTTACATTTTTAAATATACAGTAGTTATGGTATGTGTTCAGTATATGAATAAGTGTATACAATATAGTGTGTCTATATTTTATACTGAATATAAACATTTAAATCAATTTAATTTAATGTCTTTACATGATTCATTTTCATTTTCATTTACATGATACAGATAGCTTTATCCAAAGTAAAACAGGGGCAATAAATAAATATAAAATATCAAGTGTTTTTATGTGTTATTTTTAAAACATAATTATGTTTAATTATGCATAATTATGTTATTTATTGCCCCTTATCAATTTTAGATAAAGCTCCTAAATATTTTTAAATATACCATTGATTATATATATATTTTATATAATAATAATAAATTATTTGTATCCACAACAATTTAAATCCGAGCTTTGTGACACTCGGATACAGATCTAGTCTGTTTGTGCAGGAAGTATTGATCGTACTGTGTGAGAGTATGAGCCGGTGGGGGGAGATTCACAATTCTAACCTCACATAAAGAGTCAAAGTGTCCACTCAGGGTTTGTCCTGAGGGAAATTCCAAGTGTCAGGCCTCATGCTAATCAGCTTTTATTAATTCAGCCATTGGTTTGAGGGCCAAACGGGTTCATGTGATCACGCTCAGTGAAGAATTGAGCTGTAATGTGCAAGTCTGAAAGATTATTAATCAGCAGGGCTGTGCACTAGGGAGGCAGGGCCTGTGGGACAGGGGTCATTAGTAGATCGCCCAGAGGATGAACTGATTCTTGAGAACACACATTGCCATTTTAACAAGCCACTGCTTACTTATTCGTGCCTGCCTCAAACTGCTGTAAGCATGAAGCTTAAACAAGACGCTAACAACCCTTCCGCAGGTTACTGGACAGCAGGAAACATTTTTAATGTTAAAATAATATTTCCATTTTGAGTAAATGTCAAATAAATCATCAAAGAATCCTGAAAAAAAATGTATGACATTTTCCACACAAAAAAAAAAAAAATGCAGCACAACTGTTTTTAACTATTGATAAGAAATGTTTCTTGAGCACGAAATTAGCATATTAGAATGATTTCTGAAGGATCATGTGACACTGAAGACTGGTGTAATGATGCTGAAAATTCAGCTTTGCATCACAGGAATAAATTAGATTTTAAAATATAGCAAAATAGAAAACAGTTCTTTTAAATTGTAATAATATTTCACAACATTACTGTTTTGACTGTAGTTCTGATCAAAAAAATGTAGCCTTGTTGAGCATAAGATACTTTTTTCAAAAAACAGTAAAAATCTTACAGGCGCCAAACTTTTCAGTGGTATGCTAATTTTATGCACAGTAAAAAGTGCACCTACTATATTTGCCAAAACATTCAGTACACGCATAACAAATCACACTATGTACAGTATCCTGCAATGCAGTGCGCTTGACTTGCAGTGTGACAAATTAACTGGAATTTATATCAACCACAACTTTTAACATCTCTTTCTCGACTCATCATTTGATCAGACTGCCAAAGACATTTTTTAACAAAACTGGGCTACAAATGCCCATATTTCTGACACGTTAACTGGGCACCACTCATGCAATCTAATGAGGTCATGTGTCAACATCGCATACCATCATAAGCATTTATAGCTGCATTCACATGTATCATTTGCTTAAAAATAGTGCACACTGCATTGTATATTTTGCCTAGTATGCAGTAATTGCTTTGCAACTACTAATTTTCCATAAAACCCCCATAGTTTTCTTTTTGCAGATCTGTGCTGATTGTGGTGCTAAGCTACAGACAGGCATGATGGGATGTGACAGGCATGCCGGGGAAAATGCGCTGCACTCTGTGGCGTCTGATTAGTGGTGAGACTACGGATAAGTCTCATCAGGGAACGGGCGCTGAGTGCTGCTCACTGTGTTAAGCTCTCGTGTCCTAATTGAATACCGAGTGCTGTGACTCCTGCCAAAGACGCAGAGCTTTTCGAGAAACTGGGTCTCATTTGATCCTCTCAGTGTCATAACCAAAATGCACCTCTGCCTGACTGGGAAGAGAACAGCTCAGATATTCCCTTATCACCTGATCCCACCGGTGATGGTGGAGAGAGCTTTGTGCGGCACAGAAAATCCTGTCTTGTTCTTGTCTTATATAAGTGTAATGTGTCGGCAACTGTTTAGATTGTTGTGGACACCTGCTTAGGAGACTGAATCCTCAGAAGGGTGCTTGTAGAGATGTGCAATAATGACTAAGACGCTATCTCTCAAAACACAGACATGCATCTGCTGCAGATCATTGATCCAATGCCAGGGCATCAGCAGAAATCACGGCCAGCTGTAGACACACACACACACGCCCATGTCCTTTACGGAGATTCTGCTGTCAGCAGTAGCACAGCACCACCCACATTGATCCTTCATCTCTCCCACATTGCATAGCTTATGACCAGATTGTGTTTTTGATGCTGGTGGGATCATATGTTCTGCTGGCATATAGCATTGATATGCATCCTAAACCAGCACTAACCAGCATGGAGTAGCATGGGAACTCATACTGGTCTCTTAATCCATTGCTAAACACATGGAGCTTACATAGTTCAGAAGCAATCTGATGCTTCTTAAATAATAGAATTTGTTGCATCAATTCAGTTCTGCTGTATCATATTTAATAATCATTCTTTGGAGACTTAGACTTGTTTGGGGACAAACAGAAAACAAAAAAATGTCCTTTTTACCACTAATGTTGTTCATGGTACCTTTCTATTTTGTAATTATTGTGAAAAATACAACATTATGAATATACAGTATAAGGATATAACTGGCAGAATGTGTTTTAGTATTAAAATATGCTTTAAAAAAATATAATTGTAGAATGTTTAATTTTTATGTTCAATGTCATCCTGAAATGAATCAAATGCTTTTTAAATTGGTAAATTTGAATTGAATATGAATTTGAACAGGAACTAGAATTTGGATTAAAATGAATTAAAACTCATAAACCTGGTAACTTTATTTAAAAGAAAACCTAATAGATAACCTAATAAACCTAAACTTTAATTTAAAAGAAATTAATAAACCTAATAACTTAAATTCTTACTAGGAAAAAGGAACATTTGTCAAGAATTTGAAAAAATCTTGGGACTTCTTGTGAAAGTCTTGAAGTTTAATGATTTATATTTTTTTACTGACAGACAGGCAAGAAAGAACTTAATTTCCCACAAAGTCATTACCTGTTGAATTTCTTAGAATTGCAATTAAGTAAATTACACTTCCTGTCATTATATTCCATTATATATTTTTTTTCTTTCTGTGCATAGATGCTGTCGTTATTCACTTAAGATCTTTCCATCTGGCATAGCTCTAAAATCTTTAAACTTGACATCTATAGTTTGACATCACTGCTTAACAGCTACCACAGAGGAGAAGATTTTCAACTAGTAGCAATTAAAATTATCCCAAGATATCAAATGGCTTTATGAGTCTTGAAGTATAGTGCAAGAGTCTTCTGTTATCGTGCATTTTGTACATTTTGGAGCTCTGAATATACTTTATACTTTTAATATAAATAAAGCCTATAGAGCAGGGCTGTCCAAACTCGGTCCTGGAGGGCCGGCGTCCTGCAGAGTTTAGCTCCAACCCTGATTAAACACACCTGAACCAGCTAATCAAGCCCTTACTAGGCATAGAAACTTCCAGTCAGGTGTGTTGAGGCAAGCTGGAGCTAAACTCTGCAGGACACCGGCCCTCCAAAACCGAGTTTGGACAGCCCTGCTATAGAGCATAAATGGCTACCGGGGCCACATGAGAACATATCATTGGCATGTTTACTTGTGGGCTTCTGAGGTCTTGGATGTGCTCAGCTGAAACTGATGTAGTGCAGTGAAGCCGGAGCAGAGACATGAGATACACATCATGAGAGAGGAAAAACAGGAAGTGAGGCAAAGAATATTACAACAAGACCTCACTGAACTATACAACGTCCATTACCCCACAATACACTATCACTGCGTATGAGTCATCTCCCCCACTGGATATCCATAACCGTCTCAATCTGGAACACGTCCTGACTGGAGCTGCTGTGGACTCTATATAAAACTCCTGCATCCGGCCCATCAGATGCATTTGCTGGTTTGCAGGTCATCCAGTCAGATACCCGGTTCTGGATGGTTCAAAATCAAATGTGGGACTTCAAAAACATAGTGATCAAAGATGGGGACAGAAAGGAGGAAACAGACCAGAAGCAGCACAGTAGACACAAAACAGCCTGTGTGTACTGAAGCCAGCATAATTTGTGTGCCATTTTGTTGTCAGTTCAATATGCATAAACAACTATAAATAAGGTTGAAATATCTGATATGGTATGAAAACTTTATCAAAACATTGTTGTGTTTGTCTAAGTATCCCCAATCAGCCAGAACACTCAAGCAATGAGTTTGGGTGAAACTTTTTATTTATCTGACAAGTGAGAGTCGGGGGGAACCATTTGCAATTTAAACCCAAGGTTTCAAACATTTAAAGACTATCTCTAGAAATGCTGCACATCAATAAAGACTTCTTAATGTTTTGTCCCCCTCAGGACTTTCTGACAGATCTGATGATGTCTGAGGTGGATCGGTGCGGAGACAATGAGCATCTCATATTCCGTGAGAACACACTGGCTACTAAAGCTATAGAGAAGTACCTGAAACTAGTGGGACAGAAGTACCTTCAGGACGCTTTAGGTAAAATTGTGTGAAAATTGTCATTCAAATCAAAGTAGTGCAATACATTCCTTACTATTTCTGGAGACCATCAAATATGCTTGTGAGAATATATAATCAATAATTTACTGCTTTTGTGTGTGTAGTATGTTTTTGAAGTTCTGTTCAATTATTTAAGATATCAAGTTAAATATGGGTGCAAAATCAAGTGAGGAGGGAAAGCTTTAGGCTTGGTTTCCCTCAAAAGAGTTTGTTTGATGCTGGGAAAATACTTTCAAAAGCTTAGTCTGTGAGAAAGTGTTGCAGGTTTTCCGCATTGTTTACTTTCTCCGTCCCAGGTGAGTTCATCAAAGCCCTGTATGAGTCAGACGAGAACTGCGAGGTGGATCCGTCTAAGTGCTCCTCCAGTGACCTGCATGAGCACCAGAGCAACCTGAAGATGTGCTGTGAGCTGGCTTTCTGCAAGATCATCAATTCTTACTGGTAATGCCATCAAATTCACCTCTCATATAAGTGTTTGCACACTGCAACTGCCTGGCTTAGACAGATTTATAGGAATTTTTCTTTTTATTGGAAACATGCTTCATTTGGTATTTTACAATGGTTAGTTCCAATGTTAGAAACTGATTGGTCAATATGGCATATAGGCACTGCATTTAAGGTATATATATATATATATATATATATATAACAAATGATTTTAGCAAATGGCTGCAATATAACAAAGAGTGAAAAATTTAAGGGGGTCTGAATACTCTCCGTACCCACTGTATATATATATATATATATATATATATATATATATATATATACCTTAAATGCAGTGTAAGTCATTTTGAATGATAAGCATCTACCAAATGCATAAATGTAAATGCTTAATAAAAACATGTTAGAATATTATCACTTACAAAGGGTTTTCAGCTGCTTTTAAATTAATTCTAGGCAGATCCTGAATTAGCAATTTTGTCATTTCTCCAAAAAGCCCATGATGCCTGGCAAAGTAAGACTAATAAGAAGTGAGAGGTCTCCATCTGTCCTCATGGAGACTGTGCTGTTCCTCAGTCATCACCTACGTATTAGCAAAACCATGCTGAGATATGAAATTACTCCCTCCTGCAATGGCCTAGTTCAAGATATTCCGTCAGGGGAATGTAATTTTTCTCCCTTTGAGGAGTCATTCTTCAACTGAATCTTGATAGGTTGTGTCTAACTCTGCCGGGGTTTTGTTGTGCGCCATCTTTTATGTGTCTCTCTGTCTCAAAAAGAGTAACTTAAACAGCAGATTGTGGTGAGCTAGAGGTCGCAGGAGGGGACGTCCTTACGGCGGTGATGTGAAAATTGAAGGTGGGCGTAACGGTTAAAGGGTGTAGCAGTGAAATTGTTGTGGGAGAGGATGCCGTCCCGCGTTGTTAACACTTAATTAAACGCACATGGTGACTGTGATTCGATGTGGGAATGCAGAACTGAGTGGGAATGTTGTTGTTTTTGGGCCTGTTTGTTACTAAACAGTTACTCAGACAGTATTTCAGCTCACTGGTTTAAAGTCATCATTTACTCCAGACCTGTATACTGTATACTTTTTTTTTTTGCTGTAATAAAAATGTGGTATTTGCTCTCATATTTTTCTGATCATATCACTTTATTGTCTGTCCACTCTAGCGTGTTTCCTCGGGAGCTTAAAGAAGTGTTTGCATCCTGGAGGCAGGAGTGCAGTAACCGAGGACGACCGGACATCAGCGAACGCCTGATCAGCGCATCTCTTTTCCTGCGCTTCCTGTGTCCTGCCATCATGTCGCCCTCGCTCTTCAGCCTCATGCAGGAATATCCTGACGACCGCACCGCCCGAACACTCACACTCATTGCCAAAGTGACACAAAACCTCGCCAACTTCACCAAGTGAGTGTATTTGTTCATGCAAATCAAGGATAGAACATTTCTCACCAAACGGGTTCGCAAACCTCAGGGCTTCTTGAGGGAACTAATAATGAATTAAATCATAAACATATAAAATTAAAAAGAATCATAATAAAAACAATCAAGATAAAACACTTACTAAAAATGTGAAATATTTTATTTATTTACCTGCATGTTTGGTGACCATTAACTAACATCAGACAACTGTGAACATGATTGCTTTGTTGTATTATTGAAATATGAATTGAAACCTCAGGGGGTACTTCAAGTAAGTATTTTACATCAAAAAGTTACATCATTAAGCTATAACATATGATATGATACTGAAATGACAATGAAATTTGATGTTGATCATGAGTTTTAATGCATCATACCCCTGTGGTTGCAGTTAATAAACTCTTGTGCACATTTTCATCAGGACAAACTGTATTTACTGTGTTTTTTGTTGTAGGTTTGGCAGTAAGGAGGAGTACATGTCCTTCATGAATCAGTTCTTGGAACACGAATGGACCAACATGCAGCGCTTCCTGCTGGAGATCTCCAACCCGGAGACCATCTCAAACACAGCAGGCTTCGAGGGTTATGTTGACCTGGGCCGTGAACTCTCCACTCTCCTTTCTCTCCTGTCCGAAGCCGTCTCACAGCTCGATCAGGTGAGGTCCTGCGATTTAACAAATATTGAACGAATGTTTTGTTAAAAGTTCATTAGATTGTAATGTACTTATGTGTCTTCATGCAACTCTCACAGAAACAGAAACAGTAATTTGAGATCAGAAAAATAGATTCTGAAAATGATAAAAGAGCTCAATTTAGTTTATCAAGTGATTATCTGCTCAACACTGGCTCTGAATTTTGACTGGATGAGCTACAGTCAAAGCTAGTTATCTGAAAAAAAAAATAGAAATAGCTGATATATGCACACCAAGTTGCTAGAAACCATAAAATAGTTACAGTTTTAAAATTCACCATTAATAGAAATGTCCAGATTTACACCAACAATTAGTCATTAAGATTCACACTCCACCTGTGTTGAACTTAACAACACCCATTGAACATAGTGAAATCACTGTAATGCACAGCCTCTCTTGCTTCAAACTGTACTGGAATAACATGCTAAACTTTATTTTAAGTGGTCATTAAGTAAAAATGGCCAATCTTGTTATTATCAATGTTAAAAACAGTTGTGCTGATTTATGTTTTTAAGAAAACCGTGATACATTTTTTTTTCAGGATTTTATCGATGGATAGAAAGTTCTAAAGTACAGCATTTATTTAAAAAAAAAATTGAAATCTTTTGTAACATTATAAAATAATTTTACTATCACCTTTGATCAGTTTAATGGATCATTGCTGAATAAAAGTATATATAAAAAAAATCTTGCTGGCCCCTAATGTTTGAATGACAGTGTACAGTAAACGTGGAAAGTGGCAATATAATGCATCCAGTTAACTTGGCCAGGCTTATTCATGATAAGCTAACAAAACCCTATGAATGCAGTAAAATCACTGTAATGCACCACCTCTCCTGTCTTACAGCTTCAAACTGTACTGAAATAACATGCTAAACTTTATATTAAGTGGTTTTTCTGTAGTGCTATATTGCCTTTACTCAATGGAGTGAATTCACAATGCTCTATCAAGTTTAAATCCAGTCATTCACTGTTCTGTATTGTGTTGTAGAGTACTATCACTAAGCTGGGTCCTTTAGCACGGATCCTGCGGGATGTCAATTCAGCCCTGACGAACCCCACCGGAGTCCCCGTGTCGTCTCCCACCGAGCGTGTAGGTTCCCCCACTCTACCCAGCAGCAGCCTGTCTACCGGTCTGCAGAAAATGGTCATGGACAGTGAGATCACAGGGTAAGTCAGGGAAAAAATAGTCTTATGTAGCCAGATTTTCACTTTCAGCCTGGTCTAGATTGCAGGTTATTGTCTATCCAAAGGTAATAAGAAATATCCAGTTTAACTGGTAAGCAAAAATACAGTCTTGTGCTTCTAACTGAGGAACCAAACTTAAAAAAAACTCCAAAGACTTTGGATTCTGTGGGCTCTGGGATGCGATCCATGTGAGTTGATGGCTATTTACTGTGGCAGTCTGTGAAATCAGGGAAATACTTTTAAAGCACTCATATATTTAGGTGAGAATCTTAAACATGACACTGTGTAATATAAATAAAGCTGAGAGGAAAAACTGCAAGCTAGTAAAATCTTTATCATTTTGTTGTGGAATATGGTAAAAATTAAGTTGTAAAATGGGTCCCAGGCAAGGCTTTTGTAAATGCCACATCTTCTCTAGCTGCTCGACTGATCACCCAGTGCTTTCAAAGAAGATTACTTGCATCTGATAATATCTCCACATGTTTTAATAATCAGTTTTCAGATCTTTTACTGTCTGTTTACTTTCTAACTATCTATGTTGCATTAATTTTCTCGACTGGAAGAGCACTGTAATAGCAACGTCAGGATCATGGGTTCAGTTCTCTTAGAAACACACATACTGTTTGAATGCACAGTCAGTCACTTTGATTAAAAGCATCCGTCGAATGCATAAATGTACTGTTTAAAAGTTGTTTGTTTTTGAAAGAGGTCTTTTATGCTCACCAAAAATACAGTAAAACCCTAATATTGTGGAATATTATTACAATTTAAAATAACAGTTTTCAATGGTCATATATTTTAAAATGTAATTTATTCCTGTGATGCCAAAACTGCATTTTCAGCATCATTACTCCAGTCTTCAGTGTCACATGATCCTTCAGAAATAATTCTAATAAGCTGATTTGGTGTTCAAGAAACAATTCTTATTATTATCAATGTTGAAACAGTTCATATGAATATTTTAATATGTTGATAGTTAATACACTTAATATTTTTGAGAAAACCGTTATACATTTTCAGGATTCTTTGCTTTAGAGAAAGTTCAAAAGAACAGCATTTATTTAAAATATAATTTTTTTGTAACATTATAAAAGTAAAGTCACAGCCTGTCATTTTACACGCATTGCTGAATTAAAGTATTTCTCTCCAAACAAAATCTTCCTGACCCAAACTTTTGAACGATAGTGTAAATATAGAAACTGACAATAAAATGCATGCAGATAACATTGCCAGGTTTATGCATGAGAAACAGATTTGTTTTGCACCAAGCAAGACATTGTTTATACTTTCCTTTTCTTCATCCTTTTCTTCAGGGTGGTTTATTCTCTAGCACAGTAATCAAAGACATATATTGTAATGTAGTCTTGAATAAAAGCTGACTGTTTTTTTCTGTGTACATGTTTTTTACAGTCACATCAGCACACACACATCCATTAGTCATGCAAATGAGCTAGACTGGCAAACAATGAGTTTGATTTGAATTAAGGAACAGCTGTGATCTTCATTTTGTCCCGTTACCTCTTGGACAGGTTGGTGGATTTCACACGGCTGCCCTCACCGACCCCCGAAAACAAGGATCTGTTTTTCGTAACAAAGAATTCTGTGATCCAGCCGTCGCCTGCGCGCAGCTCCAGTTACTCGGAGGCTAACGAGCCAGATGTTCAGATCCCCAACGGCAGCAAGAGCTTGTCAATGGTGGACCTGCAGGACAGTCGTTCTCTTGAGAGCGCTCCCAACACCTCCTTCAGCGACCCCATCAATGACAGCCATACTTCTGTTGGCCAGGGCACAGGAGTGTGGACCACCCGCACCACTATGGGCAACACACCCAGCGGTCCGACCCTGAGGAGGCCAGGACAGACCCCCACCACACCGAGTACAGAAACAGCCCTGGGGAGGTCCCAGCTGCTTGCCCCGCTCTCGTTCCAGAACCCTGTGTACCACATGGCCGCCGGATTGCCCCGTGCGGTGGCCGATTCGGGATCTGAATGCCAGAGCTCCATCAGCTCCCAGAGTAAAGCAGAGGAAGCAGCTACTGCGGGGTCAAAGCACCCATTCCTGAGCCAGTCCAGCACGGGGGCCAGTGGCGGAGGGGGCAGCAGCGGGGATGAATTCATTCGGTGTTCTGGAGAGTTCACTCGCAGACAGCTGTCCCTCACAGAGACCCAACACCAAGCCAACGTACCACGCCAGAACAGCACAGGGCCGCAGCGCAGGATAGACCAGCCGCCTCCAACCGTCACAAGGGGCCGTACTCCGCCCAACATGCTCAACACCGCACCGTACCCCCGTCCCTCCAGTGGAAGTATGATGTCATCATCTCCTGACTGGCCAAGCAGTGGCACCAGACTGAGGCAGCAGTCGTCGTCCTCCAAAGGGGACAGTCCAGAATCTAAGCAGCGCACCTTACACAAACAAGTGAGTTAGAGATTTTAGAGAAAGAGATTTTCACACTTCTTTTTCTTAATGTTTTTTGATGAAAATATCCTTTAAATTTTAGTAAATATTTTGTCATGTCATATACTTTAATTATAGTCCGTTTTACTCTAGCTAAAAATTGTACTCAACGAAAATAACATTTTAGTGCAAAATTAAATATGCAAACATTTAATTTAACAAAAACCTGCTTGTTGAATAATGCAGATTTGATTAATTATTTTATTTGATTAATTTCTTTTACTTGTTACAGTTCCAAAATACCCAAATGTCTTTAAAACATTTTTAACAATTACTTTGATTTGTTTAAAATCAAATAAAATTAAATGTTGTCAAAAATTTAGATGTAAAACAAGCTATAATAGGACTAGTCTATTTTAGTATCATTGAGATACTGTTATCGTTTTTGTTAATATTTTTAATTGCTTTTATTTTTATATTTTCTGTTTTAATTTTAGTTAGTCATTTTTATTTTTATTTATTTTTTATTTATTTTTTAAATATGTCGATATAATTAAATTTTATTGCTATTTTATTTAGTTTGACATTACGGAGCCCCATACTTGACATGCAGGGGAAAAAGCAAGATATTATTGATATTATTTAACTACAACGAGGGAATGAAAAAATAAAAGATAACCTTAATTAATAATTTGTGTGAAGTCATTGCCATTATATCTGTTTTTTTTCCCACATGTGCTAGCCTCCGTATGCCATCACAAATGTTGCTGTTGTTTATTTATTTGTTTTTTAGGAAATTAAACATGATTTTTGCCTATTTTATTTAGAAAATAAAATAGACTTACATTAAAGACCCAAGTTATATCTGGAGATCAAAATATCGTTGAGGATTGAGGGTCGGCACTCAGAACACCCCAGCAACCGCACAGCAACACACGGACAACTAGCATTGTGGTGGCAGGTTTTGCGAGGCAGGCGCCGCTCACATTTTTTCAGAAATGTTGTAAACCGAATCATTGTTATTATTGCTACAGTCAAGAAAAAGATTTTCAAAGTTCTGTGTTCTCAAGCGATAGCATTTTAAAACCGATCACATCCTTTGTGTCACTCTGGGTCCGTTAGTTGCAACATTCCCACGGCTAATTTAGATACCACCAAATTATCTAGCACTCGGCTGATATCCTTAAAACAAATTGGCACTCAGATCTCTCAGGGGTTAATGAGTCTTTGGTGCATCGCAACAATCAAACGAGGCTCTTTGGTTGAGACGACCGCACAGCCCTCTCGCCGTCAAAGACGAAAGGAACGGAGCAGACAAGCAGAATTAATTGCTTGAGTGCAAACACTGGGCTAGTGATTAAATGACTGCTCGCATTGTCCAGACTGTTCCTTTGATGTCTGCAGAATTAATCTTCATTAAAAAAAATGATCAAGTATTTTTCCTAGTGAGCACAAGTGTTGTTGTCACCTTGAAAAGTTTTAAGGCACTTGCTTGTGTGTATGAGTGAAATCTAATTTGAGTCTCATATAGATGTTAGCATGGCTAATTATGATACAATAATGTATTTGTGTGTGTTTGAATTAACTTTTATTAGGCTCCATCTCCTGTGAATCCCAATGCGTTGAACCGCACTGCTGTGTGGCTGCTGAATATGAATGTGCAATATTTGGAGCAGGAGGGAATTGACCCAGATTCGAAACACCAGGAGGACTTTCCAAACAAGGAGGATCTCACACCAACTGAAAAGGTAATAATGAGACCTCATCCTGCGGCACGAAAAACAGCAGTATATGCAGAAATACAGCAGGCTTACTGTTTGTGTGATAAAATCTGGCCTCCCACGGGCACACAGACAGGAGATGATGATTTCCTATAAAATATGTTTCACTATTTGTCATCTCTTGAATATGATGGACTTTCTGTGAGGACATGATGATGAATATTATTTAGGTCATGCTAATGTTGCTAGGTAACCTTCCTGGAATGACCAATCATGTAAACCTAATTAATATTCATTAGATCAATCTGACACTGAACTTTTAAACATGGTGTAAATTGCAAACTTAAGCACTCTAAACCATTTTCCTTCCTAAACTAAAGAAAGACAGAACCATCCAAGGTTTTTTCCTGATCACCCAGACTTGAGGACATTTTAAGATCAGATCTAGTTGCTTAGTCACTGCATCTTGTCTTAAACTGATACGAGCACTGTGGATGTCAAACTGCAGACAGGTAGATTCGCACTGCAATTGAAATAGACTTTAGATGAAGCTGACTTTTGATCTCTCTAGAGTTGTAATTCAGGAGGACAGGCTCAAATCACTACATAGTGGAGAGCACACGTCTGGTTCAGACTTGTCTGCCGTCTCTTTCCCCTGCTCTTTAATGAATAATGAGTCCGGCGGAGTGCACTGAGTGTGTACACCCACATACTCAAGCTTCTCCCTCAGCAGAACCCCACTGCATCCGTACTGTTTGAAGCTGTTAATGTAAGTGATACTGTGAAGATTGGTTGAATCCTCTACAGGGAATGTAGCTTATTGTGCAACAGCATTTTAGTCTAGATGCAAAATTACAAGACAAAAAAAACACACAGGAAACCAGGCTTATTATTCCAAGTCTTTGCATATTTATAAAGCAGACGGTTTCTGTATCTATAAACCCTTAACCAAGCAGAATCTCAAGATGGAGACTATCAACAGTGAGTTCTCAAAAACGTCCTTCTCCGAACAGCTGCATAAAACATTTCATACAACACTTTCTTAGACTCTGAATAGCCTGAAGCAACAACACAGCAAAAAGAATTTTCTAAATCAGTATGTGTGTCTTATTTTTTAATAAAATATGTAAACATCTCTAAAACAAGATCAATTTACTTGAAGAGCTAAAAATGTTAAGATATGCTGCCTTTATTTCTAGCAAATGCAACTTTTTATATAATATATACAGTATATATATATATATATATATAGCTAAAACTAACAATCTGCCAGTGGAGGCTATTACTCACCATAATTTTTAACGTTGATGTCTCTGACATCTGCTGCATTCCTACAGTAAGAAGTGATAGCAAAGATTTATATTGTTAGAAAAGATTTATATTTTGAATAAATGCTGTTCTTTTGAACTTTTTATTCATCAAAGAATCCTGAAAAAGTATCACCGTTTCCAAAAAAAGATATTTGGCAGGTATATTAAAATAGAAACCATTATTTTATATTGTAATAACATTTTGCAAGAATACTGTTTTTTTCTGTATTTTTTAACAAATAAATGCAGCCTTGCCGAGCAGAAGAGATTTCTTTAAAAAACATTACCAGTCTTACTGATCCCAAACTTTTGAGCGGTAGTGTATATATATATATATATATATATATATATAGAGAGAGAGAGATTTCAAGCTCTCAATGTACATTGATTGCCTGGGAGTTAAACCCATGACCTTTGTGTTGTTAGCAGCATGCTCTACTGTGAGCTACAGAATTCATCTTTGAAATATTCTGTAGCACCTGTTAGATATATTTCATACAGCTTTGCTGGATTTCCCAGGCTTAGCAGGCAGATACGAGATGATTAGCAGGGCTCTGATCGTGTAATATGCATTTCAAACCACAGCCGTACACACCCGAGAACTCCCTCTTTACACAGCTTTTGTTGCTCTATAATCCTGCTATTAGAGTACTTCATTCTCTCTTTCTCCTCCTCAGTATCAGCAGGAGATTGCTGTCCTGCAGGAAAAGCTGCGTATTTCTGCTAAGAAGCTGGAAGAGTATGAATCTCGCATAAAGAGCCAGGATGACCAAACCCAGAAGATGCTCTTGGAGTACCAGGCCCGGCTTGAGGACACGGAGGAGCGATTACACAAGCAGCAGGATGAGAAAGAGCACCAGATGAAGAGCATCATCACCAGGTGAAGATTTGGATTTGAGGTGGTGTCCGGTCTAGAAACTGAAACATTGTAGGTTCAAATCCCATAAGGGGTGATCCATTAGATATTACAAGGGTTGAAAATTAACTGTTTCCTAGATATAACCTCTGATGGTATTTAAAGTATTACGCTCTAGTTCAGTTAAGCACTTAAGTAGCATCTGAAATTTTATGTTTCAGGTTGATGTCAGTTGAAGAGGAGCTGAAGAAAGATCACACAGACATGCAGGCCATTGTAGACTCCAAACAGAAAATCATCGAAGCCCAGGTGAATTAAATATCTAATCACCTTTTATATGTCTTTAATCATTTTCAAGTCATGGCTGTGTTTATCGTAATCAAATAGTTTTCATGATGCCGTTCAGCTGGTGCATTTAAATCCAGATGCTTAATTTAAGTGAAAAATATTAGCGTTGACGCTATACTCCATTGAAAAGTATTTTAAGCAGCAATTATCAAATTTTTACATAATTATTATATGGTTTAATGAGCTCATATTAAATGAGACACTTATGGAATATATTAATGAATACTAAAAGTATTTGGTTACACAGCAGTGCTATTTAAGTGAACTGCAAAATGTTTTAAAATATACACTTTCCTGTATACCTATACTACTGTTCAAAAGTTTGAGGTCAGTGATTAAAAAGAAAAAATAAATAAATAAATAAATATTTTATTAAGAAAGTATGCATTAAACTAAGTGACAGTCAAGACTTTCACTGAAAATTCTGTTTTGCTTTTTAATGCTTTTTTTTAAATGCTTTTTAATAATTATTTATTATTTTATTAAATAATATAAAATTAGTTTGTAAGACTTTTTAATTTAACTCAATAATTTTAATGATACTGAATTAATAAAGCCAATAAAATAACCTCACCTTTATTGAAAGTAAAGCAATGAAACTGGACGGAAAACATGTTAATATTAAATATCAATATATTATTTTTAATCAGTTCTATGCAACAGAATCAAATTTAACTGTTTGTTGTTGTTGTTGTTGTTTTTTTAATTATCCAAATAATGTAAAGTCCTACAAAGCTATTATTATCAGAGCAGGTGAGCAGGATATATATATATATACAATTCCATTGCAGCAAAAGATGCTTTTTGGATCATTCTCAAATCAGGCTGGAGAACATGATCATCAGTCTGTGTCAGCTTGAGTGCAGCTGTCATTAAGGGTGCATACTGAATAGTAAAAAAAATCAATGATAACTTTTCACTCAAGTTGTCATGCTGATAATATGATTTAATGTATAATTTTCTATCAAACAAGAAAAAAGCAGCGTTTTCACTAATGGTCTTAAATGTTTGTTTCGATTGTCAGCTACTTGTTTGCAGGGTCATAGCGCCCTCTTGTGTTTGGTTTAGATTTCAGCATGATGTTATGAGTTGGTCTCTGAGGTTTAATGGTGTTAATGTATCTGAAAGTTTAATGATGAACACCCGTGTCCTCCGGGGACAATCAGCATCTTTCGTAAACAGTTTGATGAGCATAAAAACCACCCACTGTGGATTCATTTTAGCACTCATCAAATTCATTAAAGACTGTTTACATCATAGATTTATTTTCTAAAAGACAAGGAGAGAATACCGCCGTAGCTGCATGAATTTTAATTTAAACTCTGTAAATTCATTTTATGGGTTATAGACGGAGTAATTAGTCTGTAATGTTTCAGACAAGAGAGTGCCAGTCACCTTGCGTCCATTGCAGAGTACAAAGACTTTAATTAAACATTAAATATCATACACTGTTAATCACCTTCTCCTATCTGACCTCCATTAATGGTCACTCCCCACAGGAGAAGAGAATCGCATCCCTGGACGCCGCAAACGCCCGGCTAATGAGTGCTCTGTCTCAGCTGAAGGATCGTTACAGCATGCAAACGAGGAACGGCATCTCTCCCACAAACCCTACCAAGCTGCAGATCACGGAAAACGGTGAATTCCGGAACAGTAGCAACTGTTAGCGTGGACACAAACACACACAGGCTTACGGGCCTAGTGACGGACAAGGGCTATGGGTAACTCTCTTACAGTGCGGTTAAAATTACTTCACAAAGTCCCTAGTACTGGGTCGAAAATAACTATTTTTGGGAACTAATTGGATAGGACATTTAAGAGTTGCACAATGTTGTTTTTTCGCTCAGTGTATAAAGGCTAATGTGTCTTTTTGAATCCTTTTAGATTTGCCACGCAAAGATGTCCCATGATGCTTCATTCATAGCCCTTGTCACGAGAGCCACTCGGGTCACTGATGTAAGCCGTGACCAAATTCTGTATCACCTCTAGATTTGAACTGTGCACATACACCTCTTGATTGTACTTAGCATGATAATAACAACTCATACGTATGTAATTATTTGTTGAAACACTATTTTCCGCTTTCTTTTTATTGTAACTTTCATGTAAACATCCTTTTCTGACCATTTTTGTTGCTTGCGTCACTCCACGGCAGCAGTAGCACAAACCGCTCGCTTTTTTTTGTAAGGTTAGAGAGGACTTTTAAACATCGCATTTTGTTGCATACTTTTTTTGTATGTGCATAACATTTTAGTCTATATAGAGGCAACGCGCCTCATTAATGTATATAGTTTTTTATGGACTTTTCAGAGAAAAGAGATTTAGTTTTTTTTCATACGGTCTGTATTTCCCGTGCTGAGGTCTGCTGTACTTTATTAACGAAAAACAATGTAAGCTGCCATTATACATTCAGGTGCTGCTTCTAGACAGGGCAAAGATGACAACACACTTTAACCCCTCTGCATCAACGCCGTGGATAGAAATGTCCTCACACTGCTTGCTGTTCACGTGGCCAGTATTAGACTCAGTATCTAACATCATGCCTACAGTACAATCAGTGCGTGTCCCCTACGATGTCTTTCTTCCACTCTATGCACTTTCTATAGCATTAGAATGGACCCTTTAACCAAAACCTGCTTCTGTGGACTTGTTATAAAGGCTATTCAGAGCAGCAAGTATGAAGCATATAGCATTCAGCACTTCTACTGGGTGATAAAGGTTTGAGTTGATGTGTGAAGTGTATTGTGGCTGTTTTTCGCTTAAAGGTTGCGATGTTTCCTGCTCTTTTCAAATGCGGTTTGCATCAAACAAGCTGGAAGTCAGTGCAGCGCAGCAATAGTTGCATCAACCCTGCAGACAGGACCTTTGCTCCGGTATCAGACGAGCCTGTTTTAGCTTCACTGAACTTTATTCAAATCAGGCTTATGGAGAAGAGTTTGAAGACTGTCAGTGTTTCTTTGTGTATAAATGTCAAATCAAACATCTCCATTTTTCAGTATTCTCATTTTTTTAAATTTATCATACAGGCTTGAGAGAAAGTATGCTCTGTTTAACTGTTGTTTGGAATTGATTTTTTTTATTTATATTTTAAATTATGTTCAGTTGATTTATTTATTCAACTATATTTGTTGTTATAACCCCAAAATTAAGAGTACTTGTTTAAGATTGAATGCTGGGTGTGTCCAATGTTGTTAAAGTCAGCTTGAAACAGAAGTTGAGCTCATTTTTTCCATATTGTGACATATATCCAGGTGAAACAGCTTCTTGAACGAAATAAAATGTAGGGCAGGACTTGATTTTATTGATGGAGAATTGAGTGGATTGTTGGATCGTTGTTGTTTGCTAATTGCTGCAATCTCATTTGAGAAGAGAAGAGATTTCGTTGCAAGGGGAGAGCACATGAGAGCACATGAATTTAAAAAAATGTGGATTGTTGGATCGTTGTTGTTTGCTAATTGCTGCAATCTCATTTGAGAAGAGAAGAGATTTCGTTGCAAGGGGAGAGCACATGAATTAAAAAAAAAATTATATATAATGAATCATTTAAAGTAAACACTGCAATATTCCATAAAAAAAAGAATTGACCATTTTGGTTTTATGGTGACTTTACATTTCTTTAAAATTGAAGATTTTTTGGATGTTAAAATACCATTGGTGTGAGGTTGACTGTGTTTGTTCAAACAATCGAATCCGAGAAACCTGTCTGAAAACATTATATTTGCTGTGGCGGTTAGTTATACTAGTGATGCAGAAATTGCATACTTCACTTTTAAGACTTAAGGTGAGGTCTCATTTACCATTGTTCTGTAAATTTTCGTGGGCAAAATCCATTCATTACAAAAGGAATCAGTAATTTCATGTGTGGCCGATATATTTCCCAGTGTGGGGTTCGCAACGGGTTCAGGTTGGTCACGTGAATTCACCAACGCTGACCAACAGAAAGCTGCTTGGATTGAAAGTGACTTCTGTGTGAGTTGTGCTTCATATATCACTACACTATTCACTATAAACAGTGGACCTTTTTGCCTGCAAATGTTTGCCGAAATTTCGATAATGTGACCACATCTTTATACTAACCTGTTTAAATACAGAGAAATTGAAAACAAGCAAACGAAACATGTCTGGACTTCCTGTAACATAAATGTTTAAAGGCAATAGTATGGCACATTAAAACACTTTTTCTTTTTTTTTTACTCCCTTAATATGTTATGTGAAAGGCAAAGGGCTGCTGTTTAGTGCCACTTAATTTAAAGGAAGACACCTTTTCCTGTTTGGCATGATTATATATCAAACACCATGTAAAAATCTGCTTTACCTCTACATCTTTTGTATGTATGTTTCAGAGCTACGCTGACAGTTTTGCCCACATGTACATACCTGAACAGAAGACATACCAATATATAAGAAGTAATTTGTGTTGAAGAAAATGTTCAGTGCAATTCATGTGCAATTGCCTCTAGAGTTATTAAAGTTTTATTTAGCTATTTCAGGGTTCTTACTTTATCTGTTAGTTTACTGTACAGTCCAAGAAAAATACTGGTGTTGAGAAAAAGATATATTGTTTCACCTGTGTAAAGTCAAGTAAATGCTATTGACAGAATGTATATATCCATGTAGAATGCCATTGTCAAGATTGGTGCACTTCAGTGAGTGCCATTCAAAATAAAAGCAAAATATTTGTCCATGAGTGTCATCACTAAAGTCTTTCTTTAAAACATCAGCTGTAATACAACAAAATGAAATATTTGTGATTTATATATTGTAAAAACCTTTTATTTCATACGAAAACACTACTACTTTTGAATGGAAATCAATGGAGAAGGATGTTTTTGTGTAATTATGGCTAACTGGACCATGCTAACCAGTGAAACTTCGAGCCTTTGGCAAAACCTTGACCTCTTCATAATGGTAATATCACAGTCTATTAAATATGTAACAACTGTGATGTTTGAGACCATATTGCCATCTAGTGCTCTTCAAGTGGAAGTGCACAGTTTTTTTTAAATTTTGTTATTAATTTTAAGGCACATATATATTGATTAGATACAGTATATTGATCCAATTTGTATAATTTAAGATGTTGATCAAAACAACAGAATCATATTCACAAACTAGATTAGCATTTTCTGAAGAAAATAGCAGTGCTTCAAGGTAGTTTAAGTAAGGCGTTGGTTTTGCAAACGAGAATAAACAAGATAAAATGTACTTTAAACATTTTTAATCAAACATTTTAATTTAAAACAGCCATACAAGCGTGTGTGTGTGTCTATGCATACAAGGGCGTGAAATATAATATTGTGAGAAAAGATTCACGATATACTTTATAAAGGCATCAAATGGTTTTGACAGGATTGTGCTAAAGTTGTACATTTATTTAGGCCTATTTAAGTATTTAAGTTTGGATTTAGGGATGACAGCCTTTTTAATATTAAATAATATGCAAACAAAACAGGCACATGTTTATCTCACGTCAGCCTCATAAGTAAAAGGGGCAAATAAATGTTTAAAATATGTAAACAAGACGAGACCAATTACAATTTGCCTTGAAGGTTCAAGACAAAAGGCCAATTGAAATGTAGTATGCAAATATTGCGATGACGTCGACGCCGTTGATTAATTGCAGTATTGCACCAAGAACACTGCATCGATGAAGGTTTTGTCAATGTAAGATTTACTAAGTTTAATTTCACAATTCTGTAAGTGTAATGTTTACAACAACTGAACTAGATTACACACCATAAAACAGCACAGAATGGAGCAGTTTAGACTTAATTAAGAGCACAAATGTCAAGTAATCTGTATGGTTTGTTACAACACACTCAATGTTTGATGAATGTCGCTGCCCAGCAGAAATGTTTGTCACTGATGTTTGAGACCCGAAGCAAAACGTGTCACAACCATAGACTGTATAAAAACATGGACGTAGTGTCCGTGACATCACCCGTAGGGTTCCGAAGATAGTTTTTGAAGCTCAAAAGTGGGCGGAGGCGGCCGTCGCCATCTTGGCAGCGCGTCACCGCGCGTCACTC